ATGTGTGGTGCATGGAAACTCCAGTACTGAGTGACATTATGCATCAAATTTGCAAGCATGTTAGGGCCAAAGCTGGGCTCATTGCCTCCAGCCTGAGATGCAGCCTGAGATCCTTGCACAGGGTATAGGTTTCCAGTAATTGAGTTCCTGCTGGGCTCCACAACAGCTTTTCCAGAAAATTAAAAATGTGCATTGCATTAAAAGGTGACTGAAGATGATCCACCTGGCTTGCTGTTAGCACAGCACACAGGGCAGGGTACCACCCAGGGCAAAGGGGCCGTGCCAAGCAGAGCAGCAAGAAAATCCCACGACAGAAGCAGTGAGCATTGAGCTGCCTGGTCTAGGAAAGGCTCAAAGGAAGGAGATGGGGATGGCAACTGCCATTGATGTAAATCTGAATTTACCTGTGTAAGAGCATGGGGGATGAAGGGCTACTGTGAGAATTTGCAGGCTTAGAGCTGGCTACATTCCTCTGTATTAGTGTATTGGTGTATTAGTGGTTGGAGAGGAACCACACACCACCAAAATAACCCCTTGGATTTTTACACCAAGACACTGTGAGAACACCACTTCTTCCAGTCGGTCCAGTATAGGCATTTAATAGGCTAAATGGTGTAATACATCTACAAGACATACATTAGTTGAGTATTATGTACAGTTGGCATTTTACAAAATTAGAAAGAACTGAAATAGAGCAAAATCCAACAATGTCTTACTCCATAAAACTTCCTTTCTGCACTACATGAAATATTCTACAAGCTAGACTAGAAAAATATGACTGAATGTCTTTTTTTTTTCTTTTTAGTTTCTACAAAGCTTTTAATCCAGAAAAAAAAATACAAAACAACTAATGAGTTTATTAGAGAGACAACACTTGCACATAGACAAACTAAGTGGACATTCACAGACCTTCAAGTTGAATAAATAGGGCTTGTTCGTATAAAACAAGTTTCTCTCTATCTTGCTCTCCTATTTTAGGACCTCTGTCCCATGTCCAGAAAAACAAAAATGGGAGGAGGAGTTTGACTTTGTGTGGTTGTTAATCTGAGGCCACACAGCTTTAGGAGAAAGCTTCAGTTTGAAGCACGCATTTGCTTCAGGTAAAATACTTCAACGGATCAGCACATAAGAGGGGAAAGGAAAGAGAGGAGTAATTAGCTTGGAAGGAGGAAATCTGCCATTTCTGTATGTGCTGTAGCTTGAAAAAAAAAAAGGATGAAAAAATGTAGGGCTGTGTAGCTTTTTTTTTTTTCACGGTGTATGTAGAATTTTCTTGTTTCTTTGGGAAACTTACTTAGGGAAGTGCCATTGACCTCAGGTGGAAATAGGATAAGGGCCATCCAGAGCAGGAAGGGAGGGAGCGTCTGAAAGCAGATAGAGAGCACATAAAATTGGGGGAAGTGTTTCAAACAACTGCTTTTCCTTTTATAAAGCAAAAAGCAAATTAAGTGATACATCTAACGTCATTCCTCCTGAAGCTGGGCAGATGCAGATTGAAAGGCAATCACACAGCTAAAAATATGTCATCACCGTTGTTGTTTTCTCCCCAGAGCTTTGTCCACAGTCAAGGGACAAGCAGCGTTTAAAGAGCACCTCGTGTCCACGTGGCCACCTTGCTAGCACAACCCTTCTCCTGCCACAGCCACCCACAGACGGCCCCAAGCCAGCAGCCTCCTCTCACTGCTCATGTGCTGCCCAAACACACAGCCTCAGCTTGCTCTTGCTTTGTTGGCTTTACCAGAAAATTGTCACCAGTGAAGGCGGTGACAGGGACAGCAGCCAGATTTAGGAGGTGCTCTTGAAACGTTCAATTACTCTGGTGAAATTTGGTGCTCTGACCAGAATCCCACTCATCCAGCAAAATAATTCTGTGATAGTGTGGGGAAGAAAGTCTACATCAAGAATGCAAAACAGATTGTTATATACGTTGAGAGCAAAGTTTAACTTAAGTATCACATCATACTATACTACACTGCTTATAAAAAGGGTCCTAGATCCCAAACACTCCAAACAGTGAGCTATAATTTTGTACATAAATTAATGTTGCTTTGAAGTAAAATAGTCTCTTTCCTTTGTATTAAACATTCATTGCACAGAATTCTTTGCAAGTAAATATATTAAATTTGGTTGCTAAGAAGGTATAAACTTATTAATATATATGGCCAGTAAATTTTATCCATCACTACACAATTAAAAGTTGCCATTAGAGAAAATTATTACCAGAGAAAAGAAAGCACTTGAAAGTCAACTTAGGAGTTAATGCTGGAAGAAATCCTGTTATTTCATTCCACCTACAGTGAGCGGCTTCTTCCGGCTGCAACATTAATTGGAAGTACAGAGCCCATCCAGCCCTGCAGAGATGGAGAAGGCCAGCTTTGTAGCTTACGGGACACTCGTCGCTGACACAGTCAGACCCTTCTGAGTACATGCATTATCTATCTATCTCCACCAACACTGTCCAAAGGGTAGCATTTGAGTCGAGATCGGTGCTTCTCCTGGGACGGTTGGAGTGAGTCTCTGGGAGGTCTTCATGCAGGAAGGGGTTAACCCCTGTCAAAAACGGGCAAATCCCCAAGGTATATCCACTGGAGGCCCAGGGTGTCCAGCGACAGCTTGCCCCACCATGACCTCTGGTCTCCAGGAGGCGGTTGTGCAACCAAAGCCAAGGGGGCTATGCTGCAGGTGAAGGCACCCCTCAGTGCCCCTGCCAGCACCACTGCCTGGGCAGGAGGGAGGCAGGTGTGCATCCCACCACCTCGGCCCTCCTCCACCACCTCCTACTGCGGGTGGCTCTGGGGGAACATGGAATCAGGCAAAATGGAGGGCAGGTTTGGGTTGTGCTATGGAGCTCCCATCACCCACCCCCAACCACCACCCGGCTCGGGCTGAGGGAGGAACAGCTGGGCCTCTGCACCTACGTTATACACAAAACATACCAAAAGATGAATCGTCACAACAATCTCTATTAACAAGATGGGACAAATCCAGTCCTGGCAGAAGGGGGAGCCATCTCGTTGGCTTGAAGGGAGAGGAGCACGTGCCACACCGCAGCTGGACCTGGGCCTGAAGAGTGCACAGACAGCACAACCCACCCGACCAAGCCTACAACAGACAGCCTCACTCCACAGACACCAGTGACCAGCTAATCCGCTTCACCAATCTACAGCCAGGAAACGTTTCTGGAAGGCGTGAGCCGTACTGAAAAGGCAGCTAAGAAAAGGCTGGTTCACCCAAATTTGCACACGTTAGCCAAAGGGAGAGAACTGCTCTGGGCTGCCCTGGGGCGGCAGCCTGGAGGCAAATCTTATGCTTGCGTCTCTATACAAAAGTTACAAAATCAAATGGTGACATTATATTACATCTATTGTCCATAATATCACAGTGCTAGTTTTAAATGGCTAAAAAAAAAGAAAGGTTTTAGATTTAAGACATTCCTCCTGTAGAAAAGTAGCCCCTTTGTCCTGCTGCTGATACCTGAATGCATCCTTGCTTGGAAAAGATAAAACCAATGAAATGCTAACTGAAGTGAGGAGCATTTATCCCTTGATAATCTCGTATTTCCTAACATGTCCCATTGTTTCCCAAGGAGAAATTAAACAAGTAATATGAATCCCAGCCTGAAAAATCAAAATGTTGAAAAGAACAGTTCTAAAGCCCAGACGCTTCTTACCACATACTAGCTAAATAAAACCCTTGCAGATTTAAATATAGATTACTTTGACATGTCTTCAGAGTGTGTTAGCTTTCCAACAACATTCCCAATGAAGTTTCACTTCTGAGGCCATGGGGTCCCTACTCGTCCTCTTCAGTTCTGCTTTCCAGAGTATCTGTACTGTCTTCCTCTTCTTGAGCTGCATGCGCTAAAGTATCTGCAAAGAAATGGCTCATCAGTCTTTATTTCTCCATACAGGTACAATGGCCTTCCTTTGATTCCCTGCACCACCAGGCAGTTGATCCATTGGGTTTATCACACCTGACATGAGCAATTTGCTCTACTTGCAAACTAGTAGTTAAACTTGGAGTAGGGAACTCGTGAGTGTATTGTAATCTGACTTTACAGGGGCCTTCTGACCTCAGGACCAATATTAGTGAGATGAAGTGACGATCGCTATGGGCAGCCACTGTACTGGGAGGTCTTAGTGAAATCTGCTCAAACTCTCAGTCCTGAAGACATAATGAGTCCTAACATCAATGCACAAAACCAACACAGAGGCCATACTGTGCAACCTGGAGTCAGGCTATAGATTCAGTGCATATTTCTTCTTGAACAATTAAACCCTGTGGTTGCCACCGCCCAGAAACACCAGCTGGAATAAGAGATGCTTTAACATGTCAAGATCAGACCATTTGTCATTACCCCTTTGAAATAAAGGAAGGTGTATCTTGCACCCCATCCTGGCTGCTGACTCTGGATGTTTGGGTGACAAATGGTGCACTGAAATGGAAACCATGTCACTCTTTAAGAGGAAAGGAGAGCACTGAGATGGGAGGAAAAAAAAAAAAAAATAGGCCAGTGGAGCATTCCCTGAGCAAGCTACACTCCAAGAAGCTCTCATCCTTAGCCGTATTCACCCCATAGTGACACTATGAGTCTTTATCTACATATTTGAAAGCTCCTGCTACACTAATGCACTCCTGGGACACTACGATGCTTTGAAAATGTGGAGCTGTTAAACACTTCTCTGCCAGGTCAGGAGACAGGCGGGTAGATGTATGCTATTGAACAGGATTATGGCTTCCTAGAGTGAACTGTTGATGTACAGTAAACCACCTGTTGGCCATGCAAGTGGCCAGCACTGAGCCTGATGCAGATGAAAACCCCATGTGCTCAAAAACTATTAGGAAATTTTCAGTCCACAGGACTCTCTCTGGTGCAGGTGTTTCTGAGCACCTTCAAACACCTACTGCTCTTTGGCACACTATATTAGCTTCAATGCATGGCATGGCCTGAAACTGCTGTTTTCCTATGGAGAACAAGGACGAAAATTATTTATTCAGACCTTCCAGATCCATCTGCTGCTGCTGCTGCTGCTGCTGGACACAGACTCTTTGGTCACCATGAAGACCTTTGTCCTCTGCTGATTTCAGGTCATCAGGAGGCCAGCGCAGCTCCCCGCTCTCCACCTCCCCGGACTCGGTCGGCTCCACCACGATCGATGGCAGTCTTTTGGACAGCTTGGGGTACTTCTCACGTGAGTCTGGGAAGGCCTGGGGAGACATTTTGGGACATGTCAGTCAAAGCCTTGCCCAGGGATGCATATTCAGAGCAAGCAGGCTCCATGCGCAATCTTAGCATCCTTTCTATGTTTGACATTCACTCCCATGCCCATTAAATCCCTGCTTCAAACTGGTGCAGAGCAACAGCCCTGCACAGGGAGATTTTCCAAAGCATCTGGATCCAGCTCCTGGCAGGCCAAGTGCAGGTGCAGAGGGGCTATGGGTCTCAGCACGCTCTCCTCTGTGCATGCTTTCCCTTCCTGGGCAAAGGACTGACTTTGCTCACTGGTGTGTTGGGCAGACAATAGCCTTGGCTTGTGTGAAGTGACATGCATAGGAAAAGTGGAGACCTGGGCAACAAAATTCGTTATATTGCCAAACAGTCCTGTTCTGGTTCTGGTGGGTTTTTAGGGCACAAGGGTCACTGCTGTAATGCTAAGCCAGATGGCTGCTGCAGCCCTTCTAGCTGCTGTCCTTTGATGTGATATTCCTGTTTTCTTGTAGTGCCAGCATCAAGAAGGCACCATTCCACAGACCTATTTTCTGTAATGTGAAACACTGTATTTTATGATGAATTCATGCAAAACAAGTAGCCCAAGAGATCACCTTTACACAGAGGATTGTGCCAGCTATTATTTTCATTTGTCATACTGAAGCTGCTGGTCAAACACTGCACAGATATCAGAGCTTGAAGCTGAACTAGATCTTCTTTGTGAAGGATATCGTAACACATAAAAGTGCTTTCTTGTTTTCAGCATTGCTAGTTCATTTAAATCTCTCAGAGTAGTTTGTTTTGGACTGGTTTTTTTTTTTTTTCAGGGTTTTTGGTTTTCAGGGGAAAAATCATTCCAGCTCCTCCGGGATGTTAACATGAGACAAACCTTCACTGAAACCTTATGTTGTGGTTTGAGGCTTGGAGTGCCCTTTTTACACGGAACCAGAACACTTTATCTTCTGGCTTCTCAAGCTTCCATATACCTGCACTAATGGGTGGTAAATGTCTCCATGCTAGCTGAGTTTTTATTTGTAACAATAAAATGAAGGTGCAGACTAGGGGGACTAGCCTAGGGTTAAGAGCAAGAATCATCCCAGTTTAACTCCAGGCACTGCCCCAGGTGTGCTGTGTGCTGGTGGGAACCTCCCCAGACGCTTGCAAGGCCTCCAGCACTGACTCAGAGTCTCTGGTTAGACGGAGCACCACGGGTTAGGTGAGCCAGTCTCAGCACAGCTCCTGCTCCGAGCACAGGTAGAAACAGGCAGATATTCCCTAACCTCATAAAAGTAATCACATCCCCCAGGACATTGCTGGGGACCTGGGGGTGTCATAACCCATCAGAGGTGCTTGCTCCATGGCTTTTGCAACTTTCCTTCACCCTAGTAGCTCTCTTTCTAAAAGCGTAGGGTTTAGTTGTCCCACTTGGCATCAGAGCTGGCACAGGGAGGCAAGCCCTTGGGAAGGGCAGTTCTTTTCCTATGTGTCTGGGAAGCAGCAAGAGTATTTTTATTATTGCTGCAGTGCCTGTATCTGACTTCTAGAGATGGAGAAGGACAGTAATTCTCATTTTCATTCCCTCGCTCCCCATGGTAGTGTGGCAAGGACTCATTACTCTTTGCAGATCTACACAAAGGTGACAGTATACAAATGTTGTACATTATCCTCAGTGTTGCAAAGAGAGACATAACTAAGGAGAAATGTCTTTTGTGAGAAAGACCCTTCGGTGCAACTAAACCAAGTGAATCAGTGAAGTTAAACCTTCCTAATGCCTCCCTGAGCTGCACCCATATGAGCACGACTCATCCTGATCAAGTGATGCAGCTCACGCTGCCTATCAGAGAAGTTCCCGCCAACTTGCCTTAACAGCCTCCTCTTGAGCTGTTTATAATTGAGAAAGACATTTCCATGGCAGCTGTCTTGACTGGCAGGAAGTTTTAAGAAGCTGCTAATATGATCCTCCTGTTTCCAAATATGAGAACAAGGTAATATCTCCTTGGCCAGGACAGGTCCAGAAACACCCCCGAGCAGCAGTGCACTCTTCTTCAGACCCATGGTGGAGCCGAGCTCCTTGAGCCTCATGGCTCAGGTGCTGGAAAATAGCCCTAAAATTGTGGGCAAATTGCCTTATTTCTTCCCAGTGCTGCCCACACAGGTGACAGTGGACTCTACCCCAGCTGCTGCTCAGCTTGCTCAGGTGGCAGAGGGCTGCATGACAGCCGTGCCATCCCCAAGCCTGCTGGCATCCAATACAAAAAAATTTCTGATTTTTCATTTTCTCTCTGAAACCCTAGGAAATTATACATACTGATCTAAAAATATACTAAGGGCCCATTATTACAGCTGCAACAAAATTTAGGAAAGGCACCTGTGCAGCCTCAGCTTGGCTATTTTTGTTTGTGTCATGCTCATATGGTCTTTTCTCACACCAATCCCATAATGCGTTTTTCCACTGGAGCCCAGTATTCCCCATGTCCCTCCAGGAGTGAGTCAGGACTGGCAGGAAGCATTGCTGCCTGCCGGGCCTCGCTGTGTTTTTCTCCGGAAGCTGGAGTCTGTGACGAGTGGGCAGGAGATTGCAGGAAGAGAGGGACTGCTCTCCTGGCCAGAGGGCTTGGAACTTGCTGGAAGAAACCTGATTTTCCCACTGTGTTGCTGACTTTGCGCTCTTGTTTCTTCTTGCTTTTTTCCTCAGGTGGCTGTCTCTAAAATGTAGGTGGTATCACCAGAGGGTACCCAGAGGGACAGGGTAAAGGAGCCGGGGGAAAACCTCTGGAGCATGTGATCATGGGCACCATAGAACAGCCATAAATACATAGGTGGAGTTGGAGCTGGCAGAGTTTGGACAGTGTACACTAACACAATAATGAAAATCTGGGACTTGATGAAAAAGAGGAAAGGAAACACTGAAAATGTGCTCTTTGAGTGAGCAGTATCTATCCTGTGCAGTTGATGAGGCATGGGAAAGCCTGTGGTATGCTCTTTAATTGCATACAGCCTTTCATTACATGCACAAGTGATCTGAAATAAATTTGCAAAATTTCAGTTCTGACTTCCCCGGCTTCCAAATGCTCAATTTTAACCTGCAATTGGCTGCTCCTACAGTAGTTTTCTGAGTCTGCTTGCACTATTACACCTTGTGTTGAGAAGCAGCTCAGGTCCACCAGGACACTTTTAGGCGGTTGTTGCCAGCAGTGACACTGAGAATCCCGAGCACAACCGCAGAGCACAAACTGGGGCACGGGGGGTGGTCACAACGGGAGCTCGGGACATTGTGATCCCTCCTGCTGGAATTGGCACGGCAGGCGGGTACCCGAGTGGGTGTGTGAGACCACCTGGGGGTAGAAAATGCTCTTGACCTGCCAGCAAATGGCCCTGACCAGTGCTACGATGCCATAGCCATTTATATGAATTACACAGTCATTTCAAATGATCTCTTTTCTAAAAAGGGATCTCCCTCTGGGCCTGAGAAAACTTAGCTCTTTACAAGAGTGGCTGTATAAAAGCTCTGGTATAGTACTGGCTGGATGTCTTCATCACACAATGGTTGCTCACTTCTGAACTCTTGGTGACAGATAGCCTCTTTGCCTGCATCCCTGCATGGGCCTGGCATCACTGTCACCATGCCCTGGAGAGCTGGCACCTGACAAAACCCTCCTGCAAGAACTCTGACCTTTTAAAAATAAAAACATAAGTACGGTCAAACGTATTTCAGGGCTTGTTCTTCTGGCAGCTGTGCTCTGCAATTCAACTTCTACACCTATGACAGTTATTGGTTGTATTAAATTGTTTTTGAAAAGCAACTTGGGATACTTTTCTGTTTTTCTGAAGTTACCTGGCTTGAAGGGCCTCCTTCTTCCTCAGGAGTCTGGCTGAGCGCAAATTCCTCCATCACCGGCTCCCGTGTGTTCATCACCTCTGTCATGCTGCGAATACTAAAGCAGAATGGGAAAACTCAGCTCTCACCTTGGGCCCACAGCTAATTTAACAAAAGACATTTTCATGTTTGATAAAATAATTGTGTTACAGACTGTGCTTTCTAAAGAGCCTACCAAGAAGCAGTTCCTGGACCCTCAATGCCTGCTGCTACTTCTGCGAGTTGTGACACAGAGCTGGGCATCAACCCCAGTTGCCCCCTGGGAGAGCAGAGGGGACCCCCATAGAGTCCCAGAGTCATTACCAGGAAACTAGGAGTCCTCCAGTGTTATCAGCAACCCGTTTATTACTGATAATAATTGCATAAAATAATCAGTAATTGCATCTGCTGACCAAAAAAAGTTATTTGTGGAAACATCAGCCCTGAATTAAATTCTCATTCTGATCCTTTCTAATGTCTTCAAATATTTGCTCTTCCCAGATGTCTCTTCCACTTAGTCACGAACCAGCACTTCTTTTTGAACGGTTGATTCCAGACACACCAGCTGTATCAGTGTCTAAGGGCCAAATTTTCAGTAGTCTTTACTTGCCTGACTGTTCAGAGAGGTGCCGAGTGGGATTTTCAAATTCGTCAGGGAAAGTCTGGCACCCAAATCTCATTTAAATTGGAGACTCACAAACCTAAGCAGCTTATGTGCCCATTAAGCATCGCCCTGTGCTGTTTGGTACCCGAGGCACCACAGTGCTGGCCCTCGTGTTCTCCTTGTTCTGCTGGGTGCTTCAGCACTCTGGAGCAGAGGGACAAGATCCGGCTGGAGGCCTCGCTCCAGGAAGCTCAGCCAGCCTGTGGCTGGGCAGCTGCACACCTCTGGCACTGGGATTTTCCTCACCTTTGGGATGTAAGACACAGCATTATATTGAAATATTTGAAAAATTTTTGCTTGAAAACGTCATAATGGGTATTAAGTATATAGGAGCAAACAGAGCCTGAATCAGTCTGACCTACAGACTGAAGGGGCCACATTCGTTTTGGTTGGGAGCACATCTGCCCTGGCTGGGTTTGGCCCCGAGCTTTTCAGTCTCTGTAGCTGGCGTTCAGCAGGTACAGCAGCTCCCGGCTGAGCGGAGGTACAGCAGCTCCTGGCTGCTGGGTCCTGCAGCACGCCGGGTGTCAGCAGCATCTATTGCAGCACCCTGCCACCTGCCACAGCGAGCACCCGTCGGGCACCGCTCAGTCCTCCCATGAATGCTGGACCCGCCTCACACACAAAAGCCTTCCTTGTAAAGCCCACTCTCACCAAGAAATGCAAACTGAAACATCTTAAGGATAACCCTTTTCAGGCTTACGTTACCAATTACCCCACAAAACAAAATTTTACATTATTCGCAATTACTACACAATGACTTTAATTAGCTGTAGCACAGAGCAACGCGGCGTTAGAGAGGCTTTTACTCCCGCTGCATCATATTTAGAAAAGAGCATGGCAGACCCAGGAAACACTTCAGATCAGCTGTGGGCCAGGACCCGAACCCACAGGCATCCATCGGCTTTGGGAAAAGCCCTGAAGCACCAGCCTTGGACGCAGCCAATCTTGAATTAAACAGCACGCTTCCTGGTACACACACATATAACAGGAGAGCAGAAACTCAGCAAGAGTCTGAACCTAACCCCTGACCTGGGCATCGTCCAGTTCACACAGCCTGAAACCTCCCACACAGCACAGTAGAAGTAGAAACTCTACCTGCTAGGAAGAGAGTTTTGAGCTCCCTGCCCTTGCTTGGACCTGTACCCATCTCCAGGGACACCACATCAGGGTGCCACAAACCACCAAATCAGTAAAATACACTTATTTTCTGGACAACTGCTTTTACTCCTGCAGCATCCAGCAGGCCATACCACTGGACACCCATTGATGACAGCACTGAGGGGATGGTGGCCTGGAAATGGGAGATACTTTCCTGGAGGTGTGACTGTGGGCCCAGCTGTGCCAGATGTTCTTGATACCCCAGACAGCACTTAAAAGGACAGAGCTGTGCCCTTGGACCCTTCCTTGCCCAAAAGGAAAGCAGCACCCCCTCCGTTGCCTCCTCCCTCTAACTACCCCTGGTGCTCATGCAGTTCTTGCCTTTTTTCCCTATTCTGGCCCCTCCCTTGGTCCAAGAGGAACCTTCCACATCCGTCCTGCTGCCCCTCCAGTGCCGTCCCTGCTGATGACCGCACTGGGCCATAGCAGGATCCCACCCTCTCACCTCAGCTCTTGAGGAAGAGTTGCTCTGGGGGGCTTTCTCACTACCTGTTAGCCAGCCCCAGCTGTAAGCACAGCCCCAGCACAGGGCCCATCGCTCCGACCATGCCCCAGATGAAAGCTGCTCTCTTTGGATCATTTCTGGGGTTCAGTGCCCCATCCCCAGCTGTCCTAGACTGCAGGGAAAGGGAAATAAGAAAGCGTGTGTCTGGATGGAAATAATCTTGGAACTTTTTTGGCAAGCCAGGATTTATGAAGTCTTGGGCTTGGCTACCACGGAGAAGACGTGTCCCACTGCTGTGTGTCCTGGGGGTTGGTCTCTGCCAGCCAACAGCACTCCTACAGTTGCCCACAGCCAGCTGGTTTATTTCAGCAGCCCTTCAACATGAACCAAGTGTTTAAAACACTTCTCCATCCTTGCTCCATGGGACATTAGAGATATACATCTACACATGCACTGTCAAATGTGTCATACGAGCTCAAAGATGTTGTTAAGACCTCGTGAAATTCTAGTATTGAGCAATAACAGGCTCCATGCTTCCCTAAGACCACATTACACCCTGCAGATTATTTCTAAATGACAAAGACAAATGATTCTGGCTAGGAAAATGGTGGCAGTCCTGCCAGTGCTACAGCAGATGCCTCAGTGAATCAGCTCCCAAGCTGTTGAAGCCCAGGCCATTTCACAAAATCTGTGCAACTTAAGGCTTTGCTTGAATAGGATGGCAGAAGTGATTGTACTTGATGTGTTTCAGAAAAGAACGTGGAGCCATGCAATTGGCAAAAAAAAATAGGCTTTAACTGGAATAGTTTAATTGTTCTCAGTCCCCACTTAGAAACAGTAAAAGAAAGCAGAAGAATCTATATGGGCTGTGAAAGCAGTGATGCTTCTAACAAGCTTAACCAGATATTTAACACTAGAATAACTAGAAGTGAAATAAATGAGAATGCTGCTGCTGCTGCTACAAATCAATTCATTTGAAATTTTGAAATCACCTGCAGGACATCACTGAATTGTTTATAAAGCCACAGAATCTTAAAAAAGAAAGGGGATTGGTGGCTGCTTAGGGTTTTTTTAACTACGGTATGTTTCTATGTGCAACAGAATCTTTTACTTTTTAGCCAGGTTGGATGGAAAAATATTAAGTCACTTTTGGTGCTGCTTTTATGTGAGATGCACTAACATACACTAGAAAAGTGGCTGATGCAAGCAAATTATTACAAGAACTATATCGCTCTTAAATTTGGTCTTGCATTCGTTTTCCATATGGTAGATGCTGTTATCACCAATGAATACAGTAGCCATAGTGATGCAAAACAAGGCAATAAATAGCATTTACAAAGAATAAATTCTGTTCTGGTGGATGAGTCACCTATTCTGAACCTTAAAATTCTTGTGGCAGTGAATTAAGAGATGCATTTACTTCCCCTACGTTTAATTAAACGCAAATATACCAATTAGGAGGGAAAAAAAAAAAAAGGCAAAATCTGTTCTTGTTTTTTTGTGAGGAAAAAAATACATTTAGTGAAGACTATCTTAAATGCAACTGCTACAGTTGCAGGACCATGCTATTATGATCTTATTCCAGGGGCATGGAGTGCACAGAGAGCCTTCACTGACTGTGATGGCACTAACAAGGTCAGTAGCATACAGAACAATATACACATTGACAAGTGCTAAGCCATCTACCATGAGAAAGTGCTCAGAAACAATGCACACATTTTTATTTTAGGTTTTGAACAGAGGGCAAAACTGACCTATGAAATACCTGATGGCAAAACAGTTTTTTGAATGAAGACCAGCTTCAGGATTCAAAAAATGTGAAGTGCTTCTGTGGCCTTGGAAAAGAGGCAGGTTGCATAATGCGAGCAAAGATTTCCTTAAGAAGAGGGGCAAAACCACATTTTGTGGGACAGGCTGAGCCACAATTAGACAGACCTGCTACCTGAAGCAAGGATCAGCCTGGAGGATGCTTGGACATGCACCAAACCAATGCCTGATCCTGTTCTCACCTCACCAATCAGGACAGGCAGCAAAATGGGATGTCTGTCCAGAGCATGAGGCTCCGTGGGGGATAAACAGCAAGTACAGGGCAGTGGCACAAGAGAGTGCATTACCTGCAATCACATCAACGGACGGCACTTCCAAAATCTGTCCCTCCTGCAGGTGTTCACGTCGTTGATAAAGTGTTGTGCAAACCGTGTCAAATCCTAAAAGTGCCCAAAAGAGACAATAAAACAGAGTCAGAGCGTGCAACCAAAGTGACAATGCTGGCAGTGACTGGTGTGAAAGAGTACTACTGAAAAACTGCTGCAGAAACTCCTACTGTGAAAGTCCGTATGATTTTCCATGCTAGATAGGATTGGATCTCACTGCGAATGCAGCTGGTAGCATATTTTGTGAATTACTGAGGCAATTAAGTTCCAAAACCACTCAAAGCCCTTTGCTGAAACACCTTGCAATCTGAATCTTTTTGTGATGCTAAACGTTATTCCTTAGTGTAAACTACATAAAAACTCCTGAAACTGGGACACTGAAATTCTCCCATACAGGAATTTTGATGATAGTTGGAAAATCAGAAAATAAAAATGTATACCTCTTTCCAGCAGGATCAGTGCACTCTGAGACACAGTTCAAAACATCAAAGAACAATATTCCTGTTCAAGAAGCTACTGGTCAAAACATACAGAAGACAAAATATGCTGAAAGAAGATACCTTAGGATCACATTACTTCATGTTTCTTTCAGAAGTCACAGGAGAATTGATTTTTACAAAGGTCTACTCCAAACTGAAGGCAATAC